ACGAAAGGAAAGACAAGCTCTACGAACCAAAACATAAACAAAAGTTGGTACGGGTATTGACGGTGGTTGCCTATGTTATATTTGTTAGCATGGCAGCTATCCTGCTATCGTTGTATTATACTTTCTTGTGGGATCCGAAAGACGTCCCTACCAAGACAAGTACAAAATCAGAATGTGGTAATACATAATTATCAAATTATATCGCCGATCGCTCTATTATGAACGATAAAAACAGATTTCAAATCCTTCAATCGCTGCGATGTTATCTATTCGTTTTAAAAACTTTAAAAATCGATCTCTTGTTCGAATTATGAACTAGCCAATTATCGTGTAAATATATCGTGTAATTATACTCTTGTCGTGATTTATCAATACGGAATTCGTTATCTTGAAATCGCTGATCGCTGTAAATGCTAATTTAGATGCGATAAAACTAAAATTACTTTTTCTTTTTTCAGATACGCAAACAGAAAAAATAACGACAAAATTAACGACCATGGCGAGTGAACGAAGTATATCAGAAATCATAACCACTCCACGACAGAAGGATTTATTGACTATCTTAACAGAGATTGCTGAATCATCGACTGCTCCCTCGCTAACAACACTCGAGGATTTACAAACTAGTCTAAGTACAGAAACCAAAGAAATATCTACCAAAATGCATTCTAACATTAATTAATATGTTAGAATATTAAAAGTAATTAAAAGAAGAATTAGATTTTACTGTCAAAACTTTTAGATTTGTTATAATGCTTATATAACAATTATTTCGTTAATAACGACAAAAACAACTTAATAATCTTTACATCCAAATAATTATTAAATGCTAAACGAATACTTTTTAGATCAAATTATGTTTCTTTGCTGAAATAATCGTAATATTGCGGAATTATACTATTGGTACGTAAAAATAATTCTCTGAACAAAATCGTTTGGATAATTGTAATTAAGATTGTATTTATTTCAATGCATTTAAAAATCGTATAGTAATATAATAAAGAAATTAAACAAAACGGTGAAGATAAAAATGTTTCCTGCTAATAATAATACGAACTACAAACGTTAATGATACATTTTTACATATTTAATGATATTAACAATCACAATATCGATAACATCCGATACCCATGCTATTATATAAAGGAATTTGACGTACTTTTTATTTCCTATTCACCAGTCATAAGCATGTGGATGGATTTTTCTGATCCAAACATTTTATTTGCCCTTTCAGCTCCTACAATTGCAGAAAGCTGCATAATATCATATTTACAATATAAAATAGTAATTGTCATATTACTTCCAGAACCTGAACGTGGATTTTGATTAGCTTCCTGCATTAAGTTACACATTTCTACGTAAAACTGAGGGAAGATTGGTGGTGCGTAAAATATAATATGCCTTATACCTTTTACTCTTATTCTACGGAAAAAATGAAATCTTTCTGAATATAGGAGAAAATGTGCATCACTATGGAAGAACATGTCTCTTGCTCTTGCCACTTTTGCATCTTTAGAATATTCACAAATTTGTACAAAACTATATTCTTCTTTTTTAAAATAATTCCGTAATTTCACAAAATCAAAGTAAGATGGTATAAAAATCAATGTATGATTCATTATTCTATCTTTATACTGAGGAAGTATCATTGTTGTAAAGAACTCCATTCTATATTCCAAGGCTTGAGAATGACTTGAAGTGTCAAATCTGTGAAACACTTGTGGAATTTGTACAGCTACTTGACAAATAGATCCAGGAGAAATAGGATTTATTATTTTTACTTTCCCTGCATAATTGTAACATTTCTTATTAAATATTCCATAAATTTCAGGCACATGAATACTTGAAAATATTAACGTCTGTCTATAGTATTTAGTCCATCCATTCACACACCAACTTCTTACTCTAGAAAAATCTGTTCCATGAGAATCTTTTGGTTGTAAATGCAAGTGATTTAATATATGTATCATATGATCCCAGTTTTGCATTAAAAACAATTCTGCTTGATCAAGAATCAATAATTCTACTGATGCTAAGAAATCATAATCTCTATCTGCTTCACCTTCTGCACCTATTAATATTCTTAAACCTAGTAGAGATGAAATTATTATGTCGGAGGAGTAAAACTCTGAATATAATTTTAAAGTCTTTTTTGTAATAGCAATTCCTATTTTAAAAGTATCATCTGTATTTCCTTGAAATGTCAGTTCATAATCTTCAGGTTTTGGATTTTTTTTTGACATTGCTAATTCATTGCCACTAAAATCTTCCATAAATCTTGTCTTATTCATTACAGAACCACCTTTATCTTCTCCAATTAAAATAGATATCAATAATTCAACAATTTTTAGACATGAATGCCTAAAAGGAACAATTATTAAAATTTTTGGTCTCACTAAACCTTGATCTCTATATTCATCTGGGATTTCTGTCATGTTTGTACATTTTGATTTTGTTATCTTTGCATTATGGTGCAATATCTTCGTTCGTGTTTTCAACACATGATTAATTATATGTAAGCAATACACAAATCTTATTTGATCCGCATTAGAAAAAGTCCTTTCAGGATAGTATAAATCTTGATAATTATTTATTATTGAAAATAGCTCCCTTTGTAAAGGAGTCATAGGTGATGGAGTTGTATTCGCATTATCCTTTGTATTTGAATAATTTGCTTGGGTAAGATTGCCATGAATTTGAGACTTGACATATAATTTATCCCAATTTATATTATCAATTAATTGAGGAACAGTGCCACACTTAGCAAACTGTTTATATTCTAAAACAGAAATGTTAGATTCTTTCATTGTGTCTTTAGCATCATCTAAAAATTTTGGTATTTGACATGTAAGATTGCCTAAAACAGGCCATATTATTTTTTGTGTTTCTACAGTTTGTGGGACATTAGAAACTGCTTCATAAAGTTTATCGCTTAGGTCATCATGAAGATGAATTGAGAATGGATCCTTCAAATAACCAGCATCTTCTTGAGTAGTTTCAGGATCTTCTTCGTCAGCGTCTTTCATTTTTATTTCGTCGCTATCACTTGGTAAATCTGCCTCCTCATCCATATTGTTAGATTCTATTGTTAGCTTGTCTTTAATTTCATTACTCTCCTCAACGTCATCCTTATCACTAAAATCATCACTTTCTGAATTAGATTCAATAGCAGTAATTTGTAAACTAGTTGTGTTTACAAAAGAGGATAATAAGTTTTGCAATGGATTCTCTTGTTCATCGCCAGAATTGTCACTTTCTATGTCTCGTTGTTGTAACTTTTCTTCTTCCAACATTTGCCTACGTTTCTCGATTTCCTTATTTTTAATGTCACGATCTTTGACATACGAAGCCTCTTTTAGGTTAAATTTACTCTTTTTGGGTTTCGGCCGATCATCGGACCGGTGAAATTTCCTTTTTCCACCGCGATTTGATCTTTTACCACGTGCCATTATAATCAAATGTTATGTACATTAATTAACAATCCATAATAATAAAAAAAAATGTTATGAAATAAAATTCATCCACGTGTCTTTGTCGATGATTTTTGAATGTACGAATATGTATTTATGTTTCGAGTTATATGTGTATTCATAATTACGTAAATTATATAACTAAATCAAAACATGATATATATTAAAAAGAAAACAAGTACATAAGATTTTAATTTATAATAAAATATATTAGTATTATAATTTTTAATTATACACGATCACGATTTTATATCATTTATTCGTTTAGAGAAACACTTATTACAATATTGTAAGTATATACTATAGGAGAAATATCAATATTCAAAATAAAACAATATTTTGTCATTCTTATGTGTATCTAATGTGTATGTATGTGTTTCCCAATATTATTGTATATTATATTATTATAATTAGCTATAAATATTTTACAAATTACATAGATAAGTAATTCTACATATAATAATTATTATATGTAGTACATAATTATAACCGTTGTTTTTAAGCAAAATATTATCAAATAATACTTGTATATGCATAAAATAATATACGTACCAGAATTTGAATTTATTTAGAATTACCATTCGGAAAATCGGAAGAAATTTGAAGCAAATTCTCTGGATCTAGATCACGTGACTAATAATTTTAATAGATGAAATTATCATGCCTAATTGAATTTTGTAATCTTTATTTTTCTTATTTACAATTATACGAATCAGGAATCTAAAAAGTCGTCACATGTCAAATTGTGAAAAATTAATAATATATAAGATTTTTGAATTCATAATATGATAATATATTTAAATGAATATTAGCTTATCATATTAGAGAAATACTCATAGCATCTTTTTATTACTGGTTATCTGGGTCATGATTAATATCTATAGTACAAAGTAGTCCATGATAATTGAATATGTGTTCTTGATAAGCTAAACCGGTAAAGAAACAGAGGAAGTGGGAAAAAGTGGGCAAAATTAATTAACCCTTCGCTCGGTTGTTTACAAAATATCCGGTCCCTGACAGGCTGTCAGAACCAACGAATTCAGGCAATGCTGCGCGCGCAGTAATAACACGGCGCTAACAGTGCCGTGCATTCTGTAATTTTATTTAATTTCTTCATTGCAACGTTGAATTACAAAGATTTAAAAATATCCAGAATAATTATACATATTTTGATAGACCGTACAAGACATCCAATTGTATTAGGTATTACGTCATATTATTATTTTATAAATTATTCTGTATGATTCTATTGTTTTAATATCATTAAAAATATATTGAAAATATCACACACAAACACACAACATTATTAATATTTTCAATAGAATATGCGTAAATGTATTTTTTCTTTTCTTATCTGAAATCTGTATTTTAAGTACTTGAATGTTTACGACAATAAATATTTGAAATTTCTTTATTAAGCTGCTTATTTAATATATACGAATTCATTTTTACGTTACACATTGCTTATCACATGGAGGTAAAGGGAGTATCAGGGGTATGGTGGGGACGGAATTGTCCTATACGAGGTTGAGAGTATGAGCTGCGGATCATAAATGCACGACGGGCAGTTTCGATATAGAACTTGGGGCGCCCTTAGCGAAGGTTACATGCAGAACCGGTAAGCTCTGATATTTGGAAGATTTTTAATATAAGGAGCTGCATAGTTGGTGTTTGACAGTTTTTACAAGCTGTCGAAGAAGAAATTATCGACAAACGTATAGAAAGGTAGAAACCAACACAGGTTTTTTCGTGTCTGATGAGCTCCTCCGTCGCACCGCTGGTGGTAAGATGGCTGTGCAGTTGGATGGAGGAGGGAAGGAGGACTTGAAAACACAGTTTGTCACGCGGGAAGGAACTTATAAACTAATGACTTTGTCGGAGTATTCAAGGCCAAATAGGGTCGGTTACACGAATGGTCAAGGAAGTGCATCCGTTAGGGTGTCTTTCGTAACTTTACCGGATCCAGCAGATCCTACGGGTACACAAGGACTTGGTGACCGAATGTGTTTCAATTTTGGCAAGGAGCTTTATGTTTATGTCTATCGAGGAGTTAAAAAGGTAATCTAAACTTCCCCCATAGTTATTATATTTGTTATTATATTTAGATCTAATTGAGCGTGGATTCGTTGAAACCTAACCTCGAAAACGCGTATCAAGCCTCCATCTTTGCACTATCACCACACCTAACATAGAGAATCCTTTTACTTTGTATATTACTGCATGTAAACTTATATTTATCAAACTTATCTCTAATTAGACGATTATTTTAACAACAGATACATCAGTCACTTTATTTAGAATAATAACTTGTTTATTTAACTTCATTTAAATTATAACATATATGTTATCTATCTTTCTCTTCCTTCCTTCAGGTCTTACTAGCTAAACTTTTAACTTTTTATTAATACATACCATATATGCTAATTGATAAAATATTAGTATATTTAACAATTTTATAGTCCATGTTTATAAATCTGATGCAAATATTTGATATACGCAGATACAAGAAATTAATATTTTTAAAATATTAATTTTGATAAAATTTTATATCTTTCAAATAAATGTAACTGAGAAATATTAATGATCTTATATAGACAAATAAAATAAATAAAATTTATTAATCACAATATATCTTTACAATATTTTAATTTTAACATGTTATTAAAATTTACAATGAGTCAATGTTATATGAAAACATTTTAGGCTGTGGACTTAAATAAACCAGTGGACAAGAAGTTATATAAGGGAACTAATCCAACATGCCATAATTTTAATCAAACAACAGCAACTGCAGATAGCGCTCCGCTATTAGTTGGTTTTTCTACAGGTCAAATTCAACTGATAGATCCAATACAGAAGGAACTCAGCAAATTATATAATGAAGATGTAAGTAATTTGTTATGTTAAAAAATAGAAATTCATATAGATGTATGAATATACTTTAATATACATACTGAACTAAATTTTTTGAAGATGTAAGAAGATTGTAAAATATTTCTGGTACAATCCTAAAATTCTGGGAATACATTTATTGTGTATAGGTACAAATAGATTGTATAATATTTTATTATTAAAAAGTTTGTACAAAGGTTGTTACCACTTCATCCAATCTATGTGACATGAATGTCTTATCTTGTTATAACATGATAAACAAAGATGTTAGTTAGTATGATAGTTTAATGATTCATAATACTCTATGCTGTAGTAACATATATTTAATACTATTCATATGTAATATTTAATTTTGTAAGTCTTATTTAGATTTTATGATGGAACTAAATAAATTTAATCAATAATTATGTAACTTTTTCGTTAACTTATTAGATAGCTGCAACAGCCCATTTTTTAAGATTATACTTATTATTTGTTCAATAAATAAAAAGATATATATCTTTTAATGTTTCAGAGATTGATTGACAAAAGTAAAGTAACATGTATAAAATGGGTTCCTGGATCAAACAATCTCTTCTTGGTATCGCACAGTTCTGGGCAATTATATTTATATAATGAAGAACTTCTATGTGGAACCACAGCCCCTAACTATCAATCTTTTAAATCAGGGGATGGTTATGCTATATATACTTGTAAAACAAAATCTACAAGAAACCCATTATATAGATGGGTAATAGGTGCAGAAGGATGTTGTATAAATGAATTTGCCTTTAGCCCATGTGGCTCAAACTTAGCAGTTGTTTCCCAAGATGGATTTTTGCGAGTATTTCAATATAATACAATGGAGTTAGTGGGTTCAGCTAGAAGTTATTTTGGTGGATTTCTATGTGTATGTTGGTCTCCAGATGGAAGATATGTTGTTGTGGGCGGTGAAGATGATCTTGTGACAATTTGGAGCTTTCATGAAAAAAGAGTGGTGGCTCGAGGTCAAGGTCATCATAGCTGGGTAAGCGTAGTAGCTTTTGATCCTTATACTACATCTTATGAAGATCATGACCCAGACTTCAGTGGTTCAGATGATGAAACATTACCACATAATAATCATAATCATTATCATGAGAAGGCCAACCGTTTGTCTACAACATCGCAAGGAATTCATTCAAACAGAAACTCTTGTGGTTCAGAATTAAGAGTGTCAGGTGGTACATGCTACAGGTTAGGTAGTGTGTCACAAGATACACAGTTGTGTTTGTGGGATATTACAGAAGATGTGTTGAGACAACCAATGTGTGCAAAACAAAGGCCATCTACAGCAGGTTCTAGTACTCTTCCTACATCAACAGTCAACAGTGGGAATGGTTCAACAACGAATCATCATTTGAACAATTCTAAACATAATAATTTGAATAATGTTAATTACAAAGAAAACGCGAGTGGTAATAATGAAAGTAGTAATAATAGCATGAGTACAAATACAGCAGTGTCAACTGTAAATTCCTTGACACAAAGGTTAGCAGGCCTTGGTTTTGGTGATCGTAAGGGTGATAATCATAAAAGGAACTTTAGCCTCACTATGAGAGGTAGTGGTGCATCTAATAGCACAATAATACAGAACAGTAGTGGTGATAAAGCTACTACTAACTTAAATACAAATAGTAATTTGAACAGTGTCAGTGGAAGTTTAGTAGGTGCAAATAAAAAGGTTAGTTCTGTGATGGATGATCCTATGAGGTTGATAGGGACTGCCTGGTGCCCTAGGTTTGATGAGTGCCCAGTGCTAGAACCACTAGTGTGCAAGAAGTTGGCACACGAGAGATTGACTGAATTAGTGTTTAGGGAAGATTGCTTCGTAACAGCATGTCAAGATGGATATGTCTATACATGGGCAAGACCTGGTCACATGGTAGGTCCTCTCACCATCAGCAGCACTCTGCACAGGCCACATCATCATAGCAATCCTTACACCAACATTAATTCCCTGCGATCTAACGATCTATGATGTAACCCATCTTCAATTTTTGTTGCAATTTTGTGAAGTAGGATTTTTTAGTAATGAATTCTGATTTGTATATAGAGATAAAACTTAAAATCATTACTGTTATTGAACACAATAATACCTTGAACAATTTTTCTATTGTCATTGTTGAATTATATTAGGCAAAACATGTTCTTTTGGACGCATAACTTTATTAAATGTGAAAAATACGAAAGGGTGATTTTGTTATTTTTTATCTTTAGTATTGTAATAAACATTGTTCTTGTGGCATCATATATACACATGCAAAATTTTTATTTCAGAATGAATGTATTTCTTGTCTTATATTTACGAATTAAATACTAGTTTACATTTTATCCAAAGCAGTATACATTATATTAAAAGGTGCCATTGGAATACATTAAAGATTTAGCAATATTTTTTAGCCTGTATTGTATATCAATTACAGAAATACATGGATGGATGATACTATGAATGGAAAAATTTAATATATCAATCTATATTCTATTTTAACAAAATTTCAGGTCTTTCTTATTGCATGATATATGAAATATAAGATTTCACATTCAATCTTTATATTTTTCAATATTTTCAATTATGAAAAATATGAATTTCTAAGGAAATTTTTCAAAATTTATTCTGTAAAATTTTGATATTAATTGAATAGCAGAAATTAAGGAAATCATAAATATAAATAATATAAGGTTCATTCATAGTGTAAACCAGCATTTATATTTGTGCCTAATGATCATCTGGTCAAAATATATTCAATATAAATATTAGAAGAATATATTAGTATGATTATAAATAGAATATATTTATATTTGATTTCCATCATTGAGAGTAATATTGTTTGCGCCCCCATAAGATTTTGTAACAGGGCAGGCCCCTTAAACCCTTCTTTCTTTCCTGTAAAGTGTTATGAGCTTAGCTTAGCAAATGATAGAAAAACAATGAATTATTTAGTTAAACTATTGTCCTGGATTATAATGATGTGACATTTAATCCTTTGTTGAAAACAATGAATTGCCTCGTTGTACAATAAAGCAAAACTTTGAATGAAATATTGCTGCTTGCTTCCTGCTTGAGTTTTATACAAAATGCAATGCAGAAGCTCCAGAGTAAAAATTGAATCAGATATACATATATAAATATATATGTTTATAATTTATTTTAATTCCTTTAGTTGTAATTTATTCTGAAATATGAGAATTTAAAATGTCAGATTCAGTTTCCTGGTGTTATGCATAAAGCATTTCTATCATCAAAATACCCTATGCTCCTTTATGTTATAGTGGTTTAACCAGTTAAAATTTTTGTGATAATTTTCATATAGTATGCATTGCTTCTTTTATAGTGACAGTCTTATAGTTTTATCGGAAGATGCTTGTGCTTGTTTCTTAAGCCGTTGGGACATTAATTTTTTACTTTGATTGGAAAGATTAATGTTCTGTACCATGCTTTGGCTGATGCAAGAGAATCATGGATGAGTCTTCCCAGAGTTTATCGCATGGTACGTATAATAATTTGTTTCCAACTTGTTTATTGCTTGATCAAACAAAGTAGTATACTATGTTTTTTATATGCTCGTGTAGTAGTATGTACCTTGCTAAGGCATTTTTAAATTGTCATTGATCATACTTCTATGCTATTATTGCACTGTTCTTTAATGCACTTATAGAAATTATATCTGTGTTCCAAATGCTTCCAACATTTGCAGAATTTTTGTAAAAACAACCAAAAGTATTTTTGATAATAAATTTTTATGCATTTTTCAATTACAGGCAGGAATAGGACAGGTTGGAAATGCTCTCCACGTGATCAGTCCCACGGAAGGTGGAGGCACCATAGTATAGCCAGAACCAGATATTAACACATCTTCAAAGCACGAAGAAAAATACGTCCCACTAATGCATACGTTGCAATCTTCAAAAATGCAGTTTCAACCATATATCCACTATTGCCACTTGTATTATGTATGGCCAAGTGAAAATTATTCCAGTATTCTTTGAAAAATGGGTGATTCCAAGAGCATCTAACAATTGATTGCTAAAAAATACATTTTTATTTGGTAAGTTATTTCTAGTGAATACCAATTGCCCTTCCTTCTTAATTTTTTCTTTTTTTAAACATGAGAAGATATTAAAATTTCATAATGTTATACAAATTTTATAAAAGAACCCAGCGAAAGTAATAAATAAATTGTGTGTACATGTATATATGTATACATATGTATGTTTGATCTTACATACTGTACTAAATCATTCCAATAAGATCCGCTTAGGAAAATAAATTTTAATTGAATGGTGTTAATACTAAATGCTTATGTATATTGTCAAAGAATTTTATATTACCAACATTTACTTGTAATTATTTAGAAACATGATTTTAAATAGTTAGCTTCTTGTGGCTTAGATTAACAAGCAGTGCAACTATTGTAATCAGTCAGAGCAATATGTACATATAAAGTATTTTAATTTGCGTATTGTTACTAGGGATTAATTGTTTTTATCTTGAGTAATATTATGTACGAAAAGATCGAATTAGATAATATGTAAAACAGGATTTATGTTATTTCATTTTTTAAATTTAATTATACCAAATATTATTTTTTTATATCGTTAACTTTAAGATATATTTACTGAAAAGATATGTTATAATGTTCCTTCTTTATGTTTCACTTCTTGTTAATGCAGTTCAGGAATATAGTCGGGTTATCGATAACTAAATTGCCTTAATAAGATTGTAAGCTAAATAAAGAAAATTTTTATTTGTTCTATAATGTGGTTACACGAATATGTTTCTAAGAAACTTGTTCGCTTTATTGAAAATCTATAATGAGTGCATCGTCGATGTACGATCAGTTGAAAACGAAGTGTAAAAGATGACTTTATATCTGAGAGCTACAAAGCATTGGTCGTAAATAATTAATTAAAAATCCGACTAGAAAAGTAACCTGTACATTGTTAGAATAGTTGTTTTAAATTTCTATTTGATTATAACTCTGCATGGAGTCTTTGAAACAACTTGTTGTGAGTAAGTATTGTATTTCTTAATTCTATTTACAAAGATTTTATGTGTTATTACAACATAACAATGAATCATTTTTACAACGAATAAATAAATAGTTTTATATAGTTCTCAGATACGAAAGTCTATCACAGTAAACAAATAATTATAAATGTATGAACAAATAGTTATTGAATATTCTAATGATAAACAGTATTTCATATTGCATATTCCACACGGCGATACTATTTATTACTTTATAAAAATAAATAATTACAGAAATATATATATATACATATATATACACACGTTAAAGTATTAACGTCAAAATGTAAAAACGATTTGTATTGTTGTAATTTTTAAACAGTTTGGAAACGATGACACATTTTTCACCTATCATGGGCATTTCTTTCAAAATGTTATTAATTTAGCGATGAGATGCAGACGAAGTACAGAATCGTAATTGTATAAAACGTATTTATTCATTATCATACAAAGTTAATAAGTAAACTATATGATTTAGATAATTGTGTGTGAACCAGTGTTTCTTGGACAATAATATCTGTCATGGCATGCATTCAAATAGTCATAAATATTTTATGATTGTTAAACATATTATAGACTTAATTTATACTTCAGTCATTGAGAATCACTGGTCTTGGCGATAGTATACCTTTTCTGAAATCTTTTTTGTAAAATTATTAAAAGTATTTCCAAGGATATTTTCATGCATATTCATATTTTATGTTATAAGTAAATGAATTATTCTCGATATAAATGCGTATTGTGTATATATTAATAAATTCTGTTTTTACGCAGATAAAAATAATGGACAGACAGAGGTAATTCTGTTTTGAAAGGTATGTTTTAATATCATGTGCAAAAGAAAACAATAACAACTATATTTTTATGTTAAATTAATAAACATAAAAGTATTATTGCAATAATAACAGCATCGCAGCTTTCGTGATAATTGTCGGTATTCCAGGCAAGAATCGACAAGTTTTTGTTGTATTACTTGAAATTTGAAAGTTACATAACGCTTGATACCGTCTACTTTTTGATAAACAATAAATATGTATGTAACATTGCTCTTTTTCATTTAAGCTCTTCGAGGTGTACTGTGATACATGCGTATGCTGACATTGACTAATTACCTAATTGTAAGTAACGAAAGTAAGAATTATGCTAATATCGTGTGTTAAGGCGAATGATTAATTTTCAAACTGTTGATCAAACATTTCTTCATATCGGTATGCGTTATTAAGCCGAAAACTAACGAAGGCTGGCCTGTTAAATATTAAACTATATTTGATTTACCGAATCGGAGATTTATAATGTTCCTACATTGTAAACTAAATAACGAGTCCATAATAAATAATATGTTTTATTTGATTAGTACTGACCAGAAATCGCAGTATCAAATTTATTAGTTAACTTATAAAATTATTTTATTCGATGACCATAAATATATTTCTTGAATTGCTCTATTTTAAAGTTTTATTTTTCAAGTATTAGTTACTATTATTCAAAGATATTTTTCGTTTCGTAAAGCGAATAAGATTCCTTTATATCGAAGAAATCTGTAGTTGCAATTTGCATAATATTACTATTAATACAATAATTGATACAACGATACAAAGGAATATTTTATTGCGAACTGGTTAACTAGTCTGGCTGATTACATCCGTACAGATGCACATAAAAATGTCCGATCTTTTCCTATTTATTGACTTTTCTATGAAACATTTTTCAACGCAGTTTTACGATTAAATTTTACGATTAAATCGTATTCAATTTTTAATTCTTTTCGCATTTTACTTCATTTATTTATAAAAGTGTACATTCTTTGTAATTGTAAATGAAACAAATTTAATTGTTATTATCGTCGTGTACTTTTCTTTCTAACATATTTACCCGATACATATTATGAATATTATTATTTCCAAAACCGTTGTTAGTTAAGTTTTTGTTTAAGTTTTGTTTGATTCGTAAAAAGTTTACAGACAATACATTTTTTTTATGACGCTATCTGCTTAGCCGACTACGATTATGTTCGATTTGTCCTTTTCTGTTTTCATTTCTTTTTTTAACATTTGTGTAACGTGTTTTTACTAGTGCAACAAAATTTTATTTTGTGACAGATTTTACAATATGACAAATTTTATACGTAATATATTCCGAAAATTTTCTGTAAATATAATAAATAGAAGAAATGAAAAAATTACAAATACTTCGAGTAGATAACGACGTGGTGCAAAAAATGGACTTACAAATAGGTAATAACATCATTGGCCGAAATGTTGAAACTGGAGTAAGTATGTTAATTATGCAAAGGAAAAATATAATAAAATAATCTTGAATTATTTTTGAATTGTCGATTATCTATTTTAAAATTGTAGATGTATTATGTACTTATATCTTATATATATGTACACATTCTTATGTATGCGTGATGAGTATGTTCCATTGCGGGAAAGCTTTTTTTCATATATTCCTTCCACATTTAAAAACGTTTGCACCCTTTCAATCTAAAACTACTGTGAATTGTGAAAATTTAGTGTGCATAATTTGTATTTCAGTGTGATGATGATCGAATTATAAAATATGCCGCAATAATAAATTTAACATCTGACAATGAAATGACAATAACACCGGTAAGAAGGAATTCGTGATTATTTATAATGCTGTAGATATATCAAATGCACCATTTATTAGTGTCCTATAGGAATTATTTTCTAGTATCAGGTTGCACCATGTTATATGAAGTCTGTCGAATCGTCGCGATGGCAACTTCTTAAATTGGGAGTTACAGTACCGGTAAAACCTGGAGATGTTTGTACTCTGGTACCGGATAAATGTTGGTTTAAAATTATATCAGTACCTGATAAAATGGAAAATAATGAGGACTATACGTTAAAACGAAAAGTATTAAATTAATGTCTTAAATGATAGTGAAATTAATTTTCTGACATTTCTTAATAATTCCATTATAGGTTAATGAAGATGTAGATTCTAATACTGTACGTGATAAAAGACTCTGTTCAGGAGAAGGAGATAATTCACGTTCTTCATGCAATGCATTGCATAAAATACTAAATAACGATCATGATGAAAATAAAATAAATGTTGAAGAAAGTGTTATAAACGAAGATAATTTAATGTATAATAACAATGAAAGTAAAACACAAGATGCAAATTCTACATTAATATGTGATCATCACAATATAGATCAGTCATCTGCTATTGAGAGATCTGCTTATAAAGTTCAAAATATGAATAAAGAGAATAGTGAATCTTATGTACATGAAAAGACTTTAAGCCTTAAAGAAAATTCAGATTTACCTTCTATAAGCGAAGACAATGAAAAAGTGATGGTAAAAGTTATACAATCCCCTGTTTCAAAAAATGTACACAGATCAAAAATATCTGCTAATGCAACAGGAAATGTTTTCAGAAGAGACAAATGCAAATATGGAGAGGAGTGTTATAGGTAATTTTATATGTTCTTTTTTTCTTATTATAAAGTATTTCATGAAAAAATCCTTTGGCAGGAAAAATTCACAGCATAGAGATAAATTTTGCCATCCTGAAGATTCTGATTATGATATACCTGATAATAGAGAAGAATGTCCCTATGGCACTCGATGCTATCGTAAAAACCCTCAGCATAAAATGAAGTTCAAACATATTGGTACAAATATTGCAAATAATAAGCGTAAGAAGCAGAATTCTAAACGAACACAGATACAAAAATCTTTGGATACTATAAGTGGAATGGAGGATTCATCCGTAGAGGAGTCTGCTGAGGAATCTATTGATGAGTCTGAGTATGAGCCTTCTAGCAATGATGAAAGTTCAGATGATGATGAAATGTACTCTGATAAAAATTGAAAGTGAGCTGGGAAATGATATAGCTGACTAAGACATAGATATAAAGTCTTTATATCTATACAAAATTTTCCGTTAATATAAGAAAAATGAGAATATGGAAATAATATATTTTACAAATATTTTTACAATGTTAAAGTTGATAACTAAGTAACATGATACCAACATTATCTCATTTATATTTATAAACGTATAAAAACAATATTGAATAAACTACTTAAAAGTAATTATGGAATATTTGTGATTATTTTCAAAGTTGATGTTTTTTTTCTTTTTTTTTCTTTTTTTCTTTTTTTTAAGTTTTTTAATAGGCATGATAACTTTCATCACTGTCTGCATATTCTTCATTAACTAGATCCACAAGTATGTGTTTTGGTATTTCTGAACCTCTTATTTTAACCGTATAGCAAACATTTTCTATTTTATGGAGGTTTTGTTCAAGTGTGCAAAGCTTTCTATTCACTAACCTATTTGAAGCATTTGTACAACCAAGAAAACATGTATACATATCTCTAACAAAATTGCATGTTTGGTAACAACTAGCTCTGTCTCCTGTTGCCAAGTTATTGATGCACAGACGCATTAGTTCTCCAGTCAGATCTGCAATGCCCAAGATATATTCATATGGACTGACTAAAACCTGTATGGTTTTAACATTATTAATCTCAGAAATTTTATAAGTAAGTGTTTTTTCTATTTCTAACCAACTTTTCATATTATCACATTTTAGATACTGATAAAATGTAACAGCTTCTATATATTCTTCCAAACCATTACGATAAGCTTTAAGATAGAGGTATGGATCTTGACCTTCTAATTCATGTGCAATAGATTTAAAAAGGGATCTCGCAACTTTTTGCAATCTCATATCAGCTTCACGTAGCACACTTTCCTGTTTGCCTTTTTTATCTATGGTGTGCAAAAGAAAAATTATTCTTTTACTTTCTATAGTAATATCTCTGCCAAATTTTACAATCCTTTCAAAACGATCATGTTTGTTATCTAATTCAGTCGCATATGCTCGAAACTGTTGTAAAATTTCACTGCTTTGATCTGTAATATCCACGATCTCTTTTCTCTTATCATCGATGTTAATCTTCTTAGTACAGCAATGTCCATGATTTTCTCCACCTTCTTCGTCTAATCATAAAATAAGAAAATTAAAATTTTAATATTCTTTGTTAAAATTGCCGGTATGTTTGGTTTAATGAAGTACATTCTGATTTAAAATCGCATCACACGGATTTAGTAAATATTAGGTCATCCCATAAGTTCGTGCTGTTTTCAACTTTGACACCATTCCCATTTTTTTTAAACACCTATGAATCGTTGTCTTAGGTATTTTCAAAACATTTGACATCTCTTGAACTGTCAAACTTCATGATTTTTCAACAAGATCGCGAATTTTGTCTTCGTCTGTCTGAGGAGGACGCCCGGAGCGTTCCTCGTCTTCTAAACAGAAATTCCCAGCTCTAAAACGTTGGAACCACTTCCTACAGGTGCGAGATGAAAGCGCATTTTCTCCGTAAACAGCACATATGTTTTTCGTGGCAATTGTTACAGAACTTCCTTTCCGAAATTCATATAACATGAGATGTCGAAAATGGATACGCATTTCATTCATGATTTTTTACTGTTAGAAGTCACTGTGTTCACTATATTACGATCTTAAACCCACGAAAATCTGCTCTAGTTTATAAATCGACACATGAAATGTATACACAAAAGTCGGTACGACCTTATGGGATGACCTAATATTATAAACAAAAGTGATTTATAAGAAACTGATAACATGAATGATACAAAGTAGTTTTTAAAATATTTTATAATTTCATTAATATACCTTTGATTTGTGACATAATTTTAAATATTGATTTTTACTGATACTGTCCTTTATTTATATATGTAATAACAATAGCATTAAGTACAAGATAGATCTGACATTCAGTGCTTTTTCGTGTTCCACGTTTTGGGAGTCACCTAACCTTAGTCAATGAGTCACCTACCCAGAGATGTTCAACTGTCCCGCAATATTCAATGAGTGCAATTAATGTATTTTTCATGATTTTTTACTGTTAGAAGTCACATGAGATGTCGAAAATGGATACGCATTTCATTCATGATTTTTTACTGTTAGAAGTCACTGTGTTCACTATATTACGATCTTAAACCCACGAAAATCTGCTCTAGTTTATAAATCGACACATGAAATGTATACACAAAAGTCGGTACGACCTTATGGGATGACCTAATATTATAAACAAAAGTGATTTATAAGAAACTGATAACATGAATGATACAAAGTAGTTTTTAAAATATTTTATAATTTCATTAATATACCTTTGATTTGTGACATAATTTTAAATATTGATTTTTACTGATACTGTCCTTTATTTATATATGTAATAACAATAGCATTAAGTACAAGATAGATCTGACATTCAGTGCTTTTTCGTGTTCCACGTTTTGGGAGTCACCTAACCTTAGTCAATGAGTCACCTACCCAGAGATGTTCAACTGTCCCGCAATATTCAATGAGTGCAATTAATGTATTTGTTGCCTAAGGAAAAAAAGAAGAATTTTGGGAAAATATATAATAAAAGATTATATATGTATATATGTATGTACAAAATGTGTACAGATTGCAATATGCAATAGGCTTTGGGCTGGCAGGTTGCACACTTCTTAGGTTAATATCATTTTTCAAATAGCAGTATTGGGAAATGTTAATATTTCTATCGCTTTTTATATAGTAATATTTTAGAACATTAATATTTGGAAAACGTGATTCCAATTACGTCATAAATTAATACTATTTATCGATAAGATATATCTATGTATACTACTACAAAATCTTGTACTTTACTATAATATAATACATAATTTATTAGAAAGAATTGAATAACTTGCGTAAGAAGGTAAAATCCTTTCATGAATTATAAATTTCTGTATTAAAATAAATGTCGAGAAAATGCAGTATTAGGGTACTAATAGAACATAATACGTACCTGAGTAATTTGCGCTCTGGTGACAGAATTAGGAATTATACTTTGAAATCCATTTCGCGCGTTGTCATACTGAAAGGAGGAAGTAACTGAAGAGTGTTCGTTATAAATGTGGAAAATTTAATACATATCGACATATCATTACTTCAAAATGGTAAGAATCCTACTTTGAATCGTTTTATATACACAGGTATTAACATATTGTGGACACGTCACGTTCGTAAAAATTCTTGTGCTTATTCTAATACTTGAGGCCGGTTACGAAAATTTTTGTATTTTTATCGTTGTGATTTAGAGAGAGACAATTAACTATACCCTTAATATAGCTAGTAATAAAACGACTAGTCTACAATATGCTAACACAATTAATAGCGATTTATCGTATTTCCATATAAATAAATGGATATCGAAATAAATTTCAAGAAAATCCGGCTAATAACGGGTTACTAATAAAACGTGATACGTTCCTGAACCAAGCGCACTCTTGTGGTCAATTCTGAAATAAAAATTTGAAATTACACCATTTCGCGCGGCGCCATCTTGAAAAGGGAAGCAACTGTCGAGAGTTCGTCATAAATGTGAAAAATTTAATATACAACACCAAGTCATTGCTTCGAAATGGTGAGAATCTTAATTTGGTTCATTTTTTATTCATAATCTAATACGATTTATAGCAATTTGTCGTTTTTCTATATGAATGTGAATAGACAGTTGCTAGTTTCCGATCGAAGTCACTGTATACATACACCGAGAAGCACAAATCACGTATTGTTGAAATGAAATTGTTTTTCTTTGCACTACCCTTAATTTTGTTCATTCTCCTCTTTTCTCTTTCCTATCTTTTTGCTTTCTTTCCCCTTTTTGTCATACATTCAACTATAATCATTAACGAAAAGTTTGACAATCGTTCGATTTTACGGTAATAATAATTTCGTTTTCTTTTATTTTAATTTTCTTCGTATAAATTACATATATTAGCTCCTGTGTGTTTACAATCTCCGCGTTGTGTTTCAGTCTAACGTATTATTGTTTTTTCACTTCGCACGTAATATCAAATCGTTGTAACCATATCCTTTCCAAGAATTTGACAACTCTTGTTCATGCACGCTCGATTTGTCTCCCCACTCTCCGCCAACCGAACTTTGTCGGGTAAATCGTGACACGGTGTCATTGTACCGACGAAAATCGGAGCGATTGGATGTGTGTGTAACTACGTGACAGGTGTTCCTTTCCTACTCCGTAGTACGTATTTACACGCGTAGTTATTATTTTACCGCCCAAACTCACGCTACTGTTAACTTCGTCTAATTAATGTACGTTTTTATTTAATAATTTATTATAATTTAATGAAGATTTTACATCTAGAATTTACAATTTCTGTAGTAATTAAACTTTATTCGAATTTTAATTCACTTTGTTATTAAAATTTCAAATTTGGCTAGAGTTTGGAGTTGTTTTATTTTTCATTATATCAAACTTCCTAACAATCAAAAATATGTTTTTAAGAACAAATTATATTTCATATTGTCTTTTCACATTCATTTTTGAATTTGTATATTGATTTAAAATATACATATAGAGATACTAAAGTTCGATCCTGCCGTACAAAAATGTATTGAATTTTATGTGCAAGAAGAAATTTCGCGACAGGCAAATTTTAGAGTCAAAGCAACAAGTTTTGAATACTGTTTTCATACTTTCGAAAATGTGCTTTCACGAAGGGATTGCCTGAGGTTGTTTGTATTAATATTTAACTTTGAGTCAAGTATTAAATAAATTTCTTATTCAGTGTCAGTTTGTCTTTTTTGTAATGTAATTTCAATAATTCATAATGTCAATTATTTGAACGAATTTTTTGATTTGAACTTTTAAATTAGTTTTCTAGTTAGAGTTGCGTTGACGAATGATCGCGTTTTTTAAAGTAGTGTTGCGCCTATATTATGCCCAATCTTCCTCCACTGAATCGTGGAAGCACGTTTCTGTTCCTGGATCATCTGACGCAGCTTCGTCACTAGCCATCTATATGGTTACATTAGACCGCTATTACTTTATTAGTGTTGCGAACATATTGATCTGAGTGCATAGATTAATAATTATTAGTGTTGCGTAAATAATTCACACGGGAATTTTCTATCTTTTCTTTTTGTTTTTTTCTATCAATAATAAAGATTAATTAATATTAACAAAATGATAATGTAGTCATCGTGATTTGCTTTGAGAATTTCCTATTTAATGGCTACATATATGTATTAAATTATAGTTGCGAAATAGAATGAATATTCTATTCACGGGTTGTCCGATTACTCTGAGTGGATATTTCGATCATCTATTAGTGTAAAATTAAAATTGCAACAGCACTCACGTTCTAGAAATTTTATGATAATTTCTAATTCCCACTATTCACTATAGCATTACATATAACGAATAAAGCTACAATTTTCGGTAAAATGGCAAATATAGTGCTGTCTTTCTGTTGGATTATTCGAACAGAGATAAGCGTCAAATCGGGCGTATCGCGAAGCATAAAGATTATGCGAAAGATAATATTAGTAAGATAAAATTAAAAATTATGATGAAATTTTAACAATTTAAAATTACTTTTTTTTTTTTACTTTAATCAGTACCAACTTCTGGCAAATATCAACCAGGAGAGATTTATTATGATTTCAATTGTATTTTGCATAATTTGTGTTAATTATTTATTTTTTTACAGAGATATAAAGGTAAGTTGTTTTTAAAACGTTAAGGTAATCGAAAGCGTGAAATTTTCTAGCGAAAGCTTGCTTTTGTTGGTTTTTGTATCTAAAAGTATAATACTTATATCCACTCTCGGATTTCGCATGGAAGAATATTCGCTATTGAGATTCTCGTTCGAAAATCTTTAGTTACGAGGGTGTTGGAAGGAACGTTACGAGAAATTATATGCTCGATCGAAGAGATTTCTACCGTAAGTAACCTGCTTGACTAGGTCAGTCCGATATATTTAGCCGTGATAAAAGACACAAAGATTGCAACGTGAAACAGAGAAAACAGATAGAAGAAGATTCTCATTAGGTATCTGAGTTTCTCGCGTCTTGAAACAAAGATTATCTGGAAACGGGGCCACGATAAATCGCGTCCTTTCCTTGACCTAAATTTCAACAGCAACCGAGCAGAGTTTATGCGATCACCTTTTGGTCTGTTTCGAAGATATACGTTCTCGAGCTTTGTTCTCGACTACTATACGAGATAGCGCCATTCCCTTTTTGCAGAGTGCATTTAACGTCCATGGGTGCATTAAATCTCTTGCGGAAATAGTCCAGGGCTCGATCCGAATCCAATGACTTCTTCCTTTTAGTTTGCGAGTATTTTACGTAAAAATCTACCTATGGAAGAGGTAGTTTGGCTGAGCTGTAAGAACAAATTGATAGAAACACTGTTTTCTCGTTCATTCTTCTTATCGCGTTCAAAGTTTCTCATTTTCGTATCTACGAATTCTTATTTAGCATATTTAGTCATTAAGAACGTTTACCTGAGATCGAGGACCGTTGAAAGTATCGTAATGCAATCGCGTAACACGAAATCGATGTGTTTTATTTATATACAATATTTACAAAGGCATACTGTTATCGAGTAGCTAATAAATATCTTCGTACGCTTAAACGTGTACAATGTTGCATAAGCATGGCTTTAGTCTTTTTGATTTTCATGTGTTGCGACAGAACGTAGCCTATTCGGAGTGTGTCAAGTGTCAAGTCCGTGACTATGCTCTTTTCCTTGTAATTACAACACTGTTTCCTTTCTTCGCCGATCTTTAGATGCAGCTTTCTTGGATCACGGCGCTTCTGATTGCCGTTTCCGAATATCGATGTGGCCTCTGAAGACTATAAAATGTCTGCAAACAGAGTTATTCCTTTTTTTAACGGAATGTTTTTCATGGCAACGTTCGCTAGATTTATAGAACGAGCCTTTCTAATCGAAAGACACGATTATTCGCGTTATTACGCTTCAAAAACGACGAAGCAGAAATGAAGTTACTTACGTTCGGCGATGCTCGAGGATAATCTGAGTCTTCTATAACATCGTGGGATATTTCTCGGCCTTCTAGCTGTCGTGGCCTCCGCGGTAAGGAACCGTAATGTAGAAGCTTCCTATCTGGAAAAATTTCATCGTAGCATTCTATACACTATGGTGCAATTCGGTTTATCGAAAGTCTGTCATCGGTATAATTGGATGTGCCTTCTTTTTTCTTTTGACAAGTCCTCTTTAAACTCGAAAAGCGGCGTATTCCGTGCAGCGATCATTTACGAGAGATAAATTGATGAGATCGAAGGGAAAGACGTTTCATAAGATAACCACGTCGTATCGATTGTTTGTGCGGATTTTTCCTACAGCAGTATCCACGAAAACAAATATTCGATTTCTGAATCGATGCATCTACGTCGAATAGGTCGACGTAACGTACGCATTTTCCACGAGCAATTTTCTTGAAAGTATCGTT